CGGTCCGCCCGGGCCCCGCCGCCGCCGCCGCCGCTCCGCCCGAGCCCTCCTCCGCCGCCGCGCCCGCTCCGCCCGCTTCGGCCGCGCCCGCGGGCAGCTCGGGCCGCGGTAAGGGCCAGGTGCAGGAGCGCGGCCGGCTCTGCGGCTCGAAGTCCGGGTCGATGTCCGGCGGTGCCGCCGCCGCCGCGCCGCCCGCCTCCGCCATGAGCCCCACTCAGCGCCGCCACACCGCGCCCCGCCGGGCCTGACGCGCTCCGCGGCGGCGCATGGGCTCAGCCCACGGCCCCTTTGTCAACCCCAAACCCTCCGCCGCCGCCGCCGCGCCGCTCTGTTTACCAGGGAGCAGCAACGCGCGGTGCGCGTGCGCGCGAGGGGCACGCTGGGAAATGTAGTCCTGGCGGGACAGCGGCGCGTGGCCGAGAGCAGGCGGCGGACTACAACTCCCGACGAGCACCGCGCCGGAGGGGCGGGGAGATGGAGGCGTGGCTCCGACGAGAGAGCGTGGCAGGCGGTGCGGCCGCGTGCCTACAGCTCCCAGCGGGCGCCGCGGCGGCCCCGCTTACATAACCGAGCCCTCACCCACTTTGTGCCCCTTTCGTGGGCCTTGTGTGTCTCGTGAGGAAATGGTTTCGTTCGGACACCACCCCGCCAGGGATGGGAGCACGGCGTCGGGACGGGAGCGGCGCTCAAAGCGCGATAGGCCCGAACGCGTTCGTTGTATTAATCAGGTTCCGGGGCCCCGGCGAGCATACAGATTCTGGGGTTGTGATCGTCTGCGCCCTGTGATATGAATACTTACTCTCGTTATGCAGGCGCTATGCGAGTGACGGCTCAGTTCGCACGAGTGGGGTGGCCTCGGCCGCCCGGTACTCTGGATAAACCCTGCGTTATGCAGGCAGCGGGCGGGCGGCGGGGCGTTACGCGCGGGCGGGGCAACGCGGGCTGCGGCAGCGGCCGGGCCGAGCCGGGCGGGGCGGCGGCGGCGGCGGCACCACCATGTCGGAGGCGGCGGTGGCGGACACCCGGCGTCTGAACGCCAAGCCGCAGGACCTGACGGACGCGTACGGGCCGCCCAGCAACTTCCTGGAGATCGACATCTTCAACCCGCAGACCGTGGGCATGGGCCGCGCCAGATACACCAGCTACGAGCTCCGCATGAGGGTGCGGCCCTCGCGGGGGCCGGGGCGGGCGGCGGGCAGCCCGGCAGGGCGTGAGCGCGGCCTGGGCCGGGGGTTGCGGCCCTACGAAGGCCTTTCGCCTCACAGCCGTGCGCTGGGAGCTGGAGCTCGTAGGATTAAAACGCTCTGGGCTGCTGTGGTGCCGGCGTTGCCTTCTGTCACAGCGTGGTTTGACTGCCGAGCGCCTTTCAGAAGAATTGGGTGTTTATTTCGCCTTAATTCTGGGTATTCCTGCTAGAGAGATGGCAGCGAGCAGATCTTTGTCTGGCTGAAAGCGGTTCGTGCAGAGGTGCTTTGAAAGCAGTTTCATTCTGCAGAGCTGATCGGGATATCATAGAATCGTTTGAGTTGGAAGGAACCCTTAAGGGTCATCTGGTCCAACTCCTCTGCGATGGACAGGAAAATTCCCAGCTTGACGAGGTTGCTCAGGGCCTGGTCTGTATGTAGTTAGCTGTTAGCTGCTGTTGCAGCAGTACCTGTGTGTGTCTGGGTGCTGCATGTCAGGAGGTTGCGCTGCCTCTGCTCCCACGATGATTCAGAATGTATTGATAGTGCAAAGGTGAAGTTTGAGGAGCTGTCAGTCTTCAGGCTCTTGGAGTCAGGGAGAAGGAAGGGGAGCTGCTGCAGGTTCCTCCAGCGGCACGGGGCAGATAGGAGAAAGCTGCTCATCTGCTGGGACTGGCAGTCTTTTCAGAGGAGACTGTAGCACAAGGTTTGGCCTTGGGCAGTTAGATGCAGGGACAAGTTTTCCTCCCTTTTTTCTTCCATGGAAACACTACTGTTGATCGGATCTTTTGGCTGCGAAGCTGTCTTGTAGATCACCTCAAAATGGAGTGAACTCGGGAGGGAAAAAACAATCAGCCTTGTCTGTACTGTAAGCGCTGTGTGCCCCTGGGTGCGGAGGGTGTTCCTGAAATAGTAACTTGAGGGGGAGGGAATGGCTGGCTCCGTGTAGCCTAGCAAGTGCTTGCTTGATTGTGAAGGGCTTTGGTGCTTATGTTCTGTCCTGAATAACGAAGCTGGGTGTTCTTGGAGGGGCCTGGTTTTCTGAATGCAGCTTTGGGTTTCAATTGCTTGTTGAAATACTGCCTTGCTTCTGAAGCGCCCTGCAAATTAACTGCTTCTCTTTATTACAGACAAACCTCCCAATCTTCAAATTGAAGGAGTCATGTGTGAGGAGACGATACAGTGACTTTGAATGGCTGAAGAATGAGCTGGAGCGAGACAGTAAGGTGAGGTCTTGCTCAGACGTGCCTGTTCCTGCAAGTGAGCTGTATGAGAGCAGCTGTAGCAATAATTTTGTCCAGAGAGGCTGTGGTGGGCAGCCACCGGGGCTCGATTTCTGGCTGTGTGAGGAGTGTCAAATGATGAAGGATGCCCTCTCTCAGATGGCAGTTCTGCTGACAGGAGTGATTCTTTGCTTTCAGATTGTAGTGCCACCACTGCCTGGAAAAGCTTTGAAACGACAGCTTCCGTTCCGAGGAGACGAGGGCATCTTTGAGGAGTCCTTCATTGAGGAGCGGAGACAGGGATTAGAACAGTTTATTAACAAGTAAGCTTGATGCCCTGGGCTTGCTGCCTGCTTGTTCTCCCAGCTGCTGCTGGTAGAAGAGGGTTGTGAGTTGACCAGAAAGGAATCTAGAGATGCTAGTGTCATGCTAAAGGATGTTGTCTGCTTCCAGGTAATGAAACCATGGGTCTGAAGCCCCCGTGTGGGTTGTGTTTTGAGAGTGAAGCAAATCTAAGCAGAACAGTTCTGTTACAGAGATCTGCTGGGCAGTGTTGGCTCAGGATGCTCCTGACCTCCTGCTGTGGTGGGGAACTCTCTGCTGAGCATCTTTCTGGCCCTGTTGCACACTGACTCAGTGGCCTTGGACTGAGGCCAGCGTGGGTGTGCTGGGAGCTGCTGGCTGCCCATGAGAGCTGTGCCTCGCTCACTGCCTGCACAAAGTGACTGCATGGGGTCTCGGTGGTGCCTCTGCTGACCTCTACCTCTGGTTTTCTTCTAGAATTGCTGGGCACCCGCTGGCACAGAACGAGCGCTGCTTACACATGTTCCTGCAAGAGGAGACTATTGATAGGAATTACGTCCCAGGGAAAGTGCGCCAGTAGGAGCACCTGGCACTGTCTTCCTCCATTCCACCCTCCCTCCTGCAAAAATGACATTTATTTTTACACTAAATCTGTCTTCTCTGAACCAGCTTTTCCTCTCTTGAACCTCCCAGTTTGTTCAGTATTTTCCTCTTTTGTAACTGGCAGCAGCTTGTTCTTCTGGGCTGTGGTCTTGGCCTAAAGGTATGAAGATTTATGCAAGTGAATGTGTTGTCCCACACCTAACGGCAGGTGTGAATAGGTGTGGAGCAGGAACTTGCTTGTGGCATTATGGTGTAGGAGCTGCCTCTCTCCCTGTACAGAAAGGTGTGAGATGACCTTCACTCCCCTGTCCATGCAGCCCCAAGCTTCTCTGCAGGAGACTCTGAAGAACAGCAATTGTCATGTTGGTCAGTGATTGCATCAGGTATTAGAGTTTTAGTAAGGCTTATCCAAAACAGTGAGTAGGTGCCTGGGTGTTTTGGTCCCTTGTCCACCCCATTCACCCTGCATGAAACCCCCATTCTTCACTGTCTGGAAGTGCAGAGGCCCAAGATTTACTCCAACCCTGCGCTCAGCCTCCTGCATTACAGACCCGTGTGCTGTGTTAGTGTCAGCCCCTCTCCTTTCTCGCTTGCTGCAGGCAGCTCGGGGGGTTCCCACGACGTTTGCTCTCCTGGTGCTGTGTGTGAGCAGGTCGCTGTGTGGAAGCTGGGCAAGCCTGGCCTCTCGCAGTGTTGGCTCGAGCTTTAAAAATGCATTGACGTTTTTAGTTCAGCTGAGCTGTGGTGACCTCCTCCTGTGCCCCAGCTGCAGAAGGGGGAGCTGGGTCTGGCTGAGGAGTAGGAGGTGGCCGTGGCTGTGGTGCAGCGGTGGTGACAGGTGACAGCAGCTGGCTGCTGCAGGAGGAGCCCAGCGTGAGGGTGGCACCACCTCTCCACTAAGGGACAGCGGGAGCTGCTGGGTCAGTTCTGGGTTAATCAGTTGGCACGGAACAGGATAAGGACTGAGGGATTTTTGTCTTCTCTGTTTTGCAATGAACTAGACAGTGACAGCGTGGAAGGTACAAGGCTGATCAGGGAACCGTCCAGGGCTTGCGAGCAACTTGCTGCACCAGAACTGTCCTTTGGAGACCCCTCTGGCTGTCATGGCTGTATGGTGTGAGGCTCAGGGACTCCTCAGGTCAATGCTGGCAGCTTTGTGGGCACTCCTTCAGGTTGCGGCGTGCGTAGAGCCTCTCTCAGAGCCCAGACCCATGGTGGCTGTCCCCCCCCCCCCCCCGTCCCTGCCAGGCTCCCTGCCGTGCTCACCCCTACGGCCTCCGTAGCGTCCCCTGGGTGTTCTGACGGCCTGGTGCTGAGAGTGAGGGGTGGGGCTGAGAGATGAGAAGGGGCCGAAGCCAGGATGGAGCTGCTCGGGGACCGCGTGGCTGCTGGAAGTCCTTTGTCCCCATCGGCCCCTGCTTCGAGGGAGGGTCCCCTCGTCCTGCGCGTCCCGCTGCGGGGCAGCCCCCAGCCGGCTGTCCCACTCTGTCCAGTGTACCTTCCCGGTTCCGTTCGCATTAAACCACTGTGAAGCCAAGTCTCCGCCTCGTCCTGCGGGCAGCGGGGCGGGTGGGGAGGGGGCGGGGCGGGGCAGCGGGAGGGCCTCCCGCGCGGCAGGGGGCGCTGAGCAGCGGAGAAGCACGGGCGGCCTTCCCGCCGCCAGGGGGCGCTCGTGCGGCGGAAGCGGCGGGGAGGCGCGATGTCGCGGGAGGAGCGGCCGCCGCTGCGGTGCGACTCCCCGAACTGCCCCGACCTGTTGCGGGATGGGGCCGGCGCCTCGCCGCACTCCCCATTTTACCGCAGCTTCTTCGAGCATGAGTGCCGCGCCATCGCCGCCCGCCTGCTCGCGGGCTCCGCCGCCGCTCCCGGTCCTTCTCCCTACCCGGCGGATATCGGCGTGCCGCGGTCGCCCTCCGCCGGTTTCGTCACCTCCACGCCCCTCGAGTCCTCGCCGCTCCCCGCCGCGGGCAGCCCGCTCGGATCCGCCTTCCTCAGCCGCTCTCGCGGGGCTCCGCGGCGCCTCGTTTTGCCCCGTGCCTCGGGATGCTCCCGCCTGGCCCGCCCGCAGCCCCGCAGGGTCGGGCGGGTCCCCCCCGGCCGGCTCCCTGCCCGCTCCCCGGGCCGCGCTGCTGGAAAGCCGTCCCTGGCCCGGCGGGTATCTGCGGGGCCGGAGCCACGAGGGGCTGGCAAAGGGCCCGGTGCCCCCGCTACCGAGCTGCCCGTGCCCCCAGGTGAGCCGAGCCCCGAGGGCGGTGCCCGCTTTGCCGTAAGGTTGCAGCACGGCCGCTCTTCTCCCTTCCCCCGCAGGCGCCAAGCTGAAGGCGATACCGGTTGCCAGGTCCAGGCTGCAGCATCCCACCAACGGGGCCCCGTGCACCGGGCCCAAGGCTTCGCACCGGGACAAAGCGACGGAAAGTAATTGTGCAGTGATGGGGGATCTTGGAGGGTCGATGCTGCATCAAGAAGGGAGAAGAGGGAAGGCCTGGGCTGCAGCACGGAGCGTGGGGAGTGGGGAGTCCGTGCAAGTAGGAGTCCAGGGCTCGAGGCTGTGCTGTGAGCGCTGTGCTGGCGCTGCTCGGTGCTCTGTTGGCTCAGTATCTCTTATGGGCCCGTGGGTGGTGGGCGCTGGTGCTGCTGGGCCTGGCAGAGCCCTGAGCTGCCCGAGGAGGGGCGCGGTGTGGCTGGCTTGCGGCTGTCCCTGCGGTCCCTGCAGTGCCTGGACCTGATGTTCCTCTTCCGTAGCTGCTGGCAAGGCTGGGGGCCGCAGTCAGCTCCCTTGGAGGCTTCCCACCGCGATTCCTACCGTGGCTTCTTGCTCCCGATTGCAGCCAGCGGGAAAAGTGGCTTCCTCCAAGCACGCTTACCTAGGTAAAGGGGGAGTGGGCTGGGCAGAAGCCTCCGAGGTTCCAGCGTTATGGCAGGGAGGAGAGGAGCTCCTTTTGGGGAGGTTATTCGGGTCTCGGCTTCAGAGTCCAAGGCTGATCCTGACTGAGGACAGGAGGGGGCAGTGTGTGCGTGGGCTCGGGTGAAGCATTGAAACAGAGCAGCGAGACTGCATGGAGTTCTTTTCCCTGGAGAGGCACTAAGAAAGGGCCTGAATAAATATGCTGCTCTAGGTCACTCGCAGGACAGGGTTTCTGCCTGGTCTCTGAGCAGTGCCCGATGCTCTTCATTTTTGTCTCCCAGGTCGTGCTTCAGAATCGCCTCTTCAGGAACCAGTGTGCAATAGGACCCGAGACCTGATGGAAAATGGTGAGAACAAAGAATGGCTGTTTTCAGCATGGATTGCCATAGGTGTGGGTGAGCAGAACAGAGGCTTGGTCCCACGCAGGAATGCAGCGCTTTGCCTGCAGCCTGCTGGGCTCAGCCTGTCCCTGAAGCTTTCCTGGCCAAGTTTGATGGGGTCCTGGGCAGCCTGATGTGGTGGGTGACAAACCTGTCCATGAAGAAGGGTGGAACTGGGTGATGTTTAAGGTCCTTTTCAACCCAAACTGTTCTGTGACTATTTCTCCTTGCTGCTCAAGGCCAGCTGCAAACCAGCTGCCTGTGATCATGCTGTAATGGGAAGAATCTGCATTTATGTATTGGATTCTGTTGGATTTTATGCCTTTTGCCTGGGGCGTAAGGAGAGGGGCAGCCATTCAGGGCAGCTGGCAGCCTCATGTTGGGGAGTGTCACTCTTCCTGTAGCTCTGTGTCCCCCTGTGCTGGCTGCCCCCTGCACCCTTGTGGGAGCCGCTTCTCCCCACTGTGGGCAGCACCTGAACAGGCCAGGCCAGCAGCAGCTGTGGGGCTGGAGGGGCTCAAAGGCCTTTTGTTCTCCTGTGCAGCTTGTCTGGAGCAGCTCTGTGTCCTGACTGAAGAGAGGCTGGAGGCTGTGGCAGTTACATTTCTAGTGAAAACTCTTTTTACAGATAAAGCCGACCAGACGTGGGTGTGTGTGGAGTCCCCTTATCTCAGTGCACTGCACCCTGGCTGTGGGGAGGCAGCCTGTGCTGCGCAGGTAAGAGCCAGCTGTGTGCTGCCCCATGAACTCAATGCACCCTGCGGCTTGGGCTGAAGAGGTGGCAGGCAGTGGAGTGCCCGGGGCTGCCAGTTTCTGAGCTGGCACCTGAGCCTTTCCCTGCTGTTTACACAAGGCCTCGTGCATTTTGCTGCACGCTTTACATCCTCTCTGGTGCTCAGGGCACTGCAGGCTTCTGCTCAGTTAATTTCTAAGGGACTTTAGAGACATTTGCCCCCCTATGGCTTGTATCATGGTCACTTTTATACATCCTGACATTTTGGATGTGTCCCAGTATGCGGTCAGGAGAACCTGTGCTGGGGCTGGGCTGCTGCATGGGTCACTGCATCCCCTGACACCCTGCCCTTGCCAGCCTGCAGGTTGCCAGCTGTCCCAGGAGCTGGAGCACATGAAAAAGGAGCTGGAACGAGTGAAAGGGGAGCTAGGTATGTGGGGCTGGCTGCTTTGGGGGTGGAACAGGAGCTGTGCTACTGCCCTAAGAGTTCTGAGAGCGAGGTGTTCGGGCTTAATGCACTGCCTTGCCTCCTTCCCCCAGCCGATAAGACCGCCCAGTGTGAAGCCTACTGTCAGACAATCTCCTCCTTGCAGGCTCAGCTCAGAGCAGCAGGTACGTCCTCTTGCTGGGGTGAGCCCTCGCTTCTGTGCAGGTTGCAGGGATGCTCCGGTGATCCCTTGCTGGTTATCAAAGTCACCAAGGGCTGCTGGGTGGAAGGGACAAAGCTTGCAGCCTGAGTGCTGGGAATGCTGCTCTTGTTCCCCAGGAATCTGTCCAGAAGATGCTGCAGAGGATAAGAACAGCGTCTGGGAGAGAAACTGACAGCTTCCCCCAACACACGGGACAGATGGCACAGACCTGTCCAGGCACCTGAGCTGCTGGGCGGGTGATATTTACGTAGCACTTTCACAAATGGATGTTTTTAACTCCTTGTATTCAAAATAAAAATGTCTTTTCTTGCAGTGTGCTTGCTGTCTGCTCTTGGAGGGCCAGTGCTCTGTGCTACCTGCTCTTCTCCAAGGGGCTGGGCAGAAAGGAGCTCTTTCTCAGACTTCTGCCAGGCCAGATCTGGGTCTGCTGCATGCAAGGAGGAGGTGGTTGGTGATGGTGGACTAAAGCACAGCCTAGCTGCATGCAGGCCTTTCTGGACAAGTCCAGGTATGTCTGAGAAGGATGACTGGACACGTGCTGGTGACACCATGGCAGTGAGAGGCAGCTGTGTGAGGAGGTTTCTGCCTTAACCTTGTTCTTGCTGGAAGCGAGAAGAGTCAGTTCTTTCTGATGGCACTGTGGCTTCTGTGGCTGTTAGCTGCTTCTTACCAGTTTAGCTGGTGGTTTGTGTGTAGGGCACAGAAGTAGAACATGGGGCTCAGCTCTTCCTCATTCCTGCCTGCGGGTGCGGGAAGCACTGCTTGCAAGCCCTGCCATGCTGCTTTCTACCTGTGGTAGGTTGGCATGGGTGCCTCATCTGACTGGATGGCATCTGAGTGAGGCCCTGCAGAGCCCTGCTGCGTTGTGCTGGCAGCATCCTGGGGCTGGGCAGGGCAGGTCGGTGTGCTCCTGCTCCCCTCTTGTCTCAGGCTGCTCTTTTTGGCCACCCCTGAGTGTCACAGGCAGCCCCTGTCCCTTCCTGGGGTGGCTGTGTCCCTTTGCTCATGGGACAGATGCTGGGGATGCTGTCCTCTGCCTCCCACCTCTGCTTTGCTCGTGGGAGGTGATGGGGCTCCAAGGGCTGATTTAGGGCTGCTTCTGCAGAGCTTTTGTCTCCCTTTCTGGCCTGGAGCTGCCTGCGCTCCCACATCATGCTGGCTAAGCAAGCGCTGCTGCTGCCTGCCTTCCTGCAGCTCCTGTTGGGACTCGTGCTTGGCTCGCTCTGCACCCCCGGGCTGGAGCAGGGCCCTGCGTTGGATGAGATGAGGCACCGTGAGGATGAACGGGAGCCGTACGGGAGGTGCGGAAACAAGCGGGCGGGCCCGTCCTGCTCCGTGCCCCAAAGCATCATCCGGAGGGCTGCTGTCGTAGAACGATTTCTTGCAACAGCCGAGTCCCAGTGGCGTCAGCCCGGTTCTGTGTGGGTATTTCAGGGGCCGGGCATTTCCCCACAGCAACGTGCCGGGGCTGCCCCGCCGCCGCCCCATTGCAGCCCCCGCAGAGCCGCTGCCCGCGCACCGAAGGGAGCACGGCTTAAGCGTGGCCGCGCCACGTTGGCTGTGGCAGCCCGGGGGGGGGGGGGGGAGGGGCAGGAAGCACGGCGGGTGCCGGTAGTGAGGCTGCACGGGGCGACCGTACCGACAGCGTGAGTCCGTTTCCTTTCTTACGGGAGCGGCGTGGGGGGGGGCGGAGGACGCAGTTCATTCATTCGTCTGAGCGGGAAGAGCGAGGTCACCGCCTGCGTCACATCCAAAATGCCGCCTCGCCGTTCCATCGCGTTGAGCTCACGGTTTTTTTTTCCGAGCGCAGCCTTTTGTTTCCCCAACCTCCGGGGCGAGGTGGGGCGGATGGGCCGGGACCCGCAGCATCCTGCCCTGCTGCGAGCCCCCCCGGGAGCTCGGCGCCCTGCATGGGGGGGCTGGCCGCGTTCTGGCAGCGCTGCTGAACGAACGACACAGCAGTGCCCGATTGCATCAGGAGAGCTTTCCGCGTCGGGGGGGAGGAGGGAGGGCTGCCGCGTGCCTCGCTGCTGCCGTAAGGAAAAAGCGGCGTAGCTCCCAGCAGTTCTCCGGCGATGGTTCTTCCCCGTCCCCGCACCGCCTGTTGCTGCCCGTTTCTCCGCCGTGTGCCGGCAGAGGAGCGGTGTGCGCGCAGCCTGGCACCCGTTGCCCGCACAGCACGTGGCCGTCGGGCTCAGCCCCGCCGGACCGAGCTGTGCCCCACGGCGACCCCCGACGACCCCGAGCAGCCCCAGGGCATGTGGGCTCTGGGAGACCTCAGCCACCCCGACGCGGCAGTCCGCGGGGCAGCACCGCACTGCTGCCGCTCCGCTTTTCCTTTTTGCTTCGGGTTCGCGGCGCTCCGCAGCATCGCAGGGATTCCGGTCCCGTCTTCTTTTTTTTTTTTTTTTTTTCCCCTTCTTTAAATCTGCCATTTTGGAGGGATCGGTGCAGGCAGGACGGACTGGCCGTGATGTTGGGCGCCCACAGCTCCGCTCAGGGCCGGGATGGATGGATGGACGGGGCGGGCTTCACCTCCGAGCCCGGCGACAGCAGGGGCGGGGCGGGGCGCGATGGGACGCCGGCTCAGGAGGGGAGGAGGGCTGGGTCTCGGCTCGGCGCGCTCGCAGCGGGAGAAGCCGCTCTGCTCCCCGAGCGTGCAGACAGCGGAGCCAGGGCGGAGCGCGGCGAGACCCGAACCGTGCCGGTGAGTCGCTGCGGGCCGGGCATTTCCGAGCACAACGGGTGCCGCTCTCGTCAGCCCCGCGGTGCGGAGGAGGACGGGCTGCCGTCGGTGTCGGTGCGGTTGCTGCCCGCCCGTCCGAACGGCGCTGTTAAGGCGCGCTCCGCGCTTCCTGCCCCGCGCCTTCCCGCGCTTTCTGTGCCGCTCCGCGCGGAGAGACGGGACGAGGAAGTTCCGTACCGACAGCGTGCGGGCGGCGGAGCGGCACAACGGGCTGCCCGGCGACTGCGGGGCTCCTGAGCTGGGGATGTCCAGGACCCGGCTGTAGAACGTGCTGGAGGAACCTGCGTTAGGGCTGGGACTCCGTGACCCCCAAGGTCCCCCCCAAGCCCCGTGATTCTGTCAACGTGGGCATAGAATAGAATTATAGAATCCTAGAATGGCCTGGGTGGAAAAGGATTGGGTTGAAAAGGATCATCTGGTTTCAACACCCTGCTATGTGCAGGGTTGCCAACCAGCAGACCAGGCTGCCCAGAGCCTTATGTCCCACTCTGTGCCCATTCCCCACAGGCAGCTCCATGGGGTGTTTGTGATCCAGAGCGTTTTTGGGGATAGCTGAGTGTGGGGCTGGGGGTGGCACATTGAGCCCATGCACGGCCCTGGGGCGCGTGCTGTGTGCGTGCAGGGGATGTGTGCTGGGAGCCTCGAGCTGTGCTCACTGCGTGTCTGGCCATGCATCCCCAGCGAGGCTGCAGTGCTGATGTTGGGAGGAACGAATGCGTTCGTGTGACTCAGCCCATTGCGTTTGGTCTCCCTACCTTTGCTTCTGCACACACCCACACACACCTCATTGGGAGGGTTGTGCCAAGCAGTCAAGTTTGGGCCGATGGGGAGTTGCTCAAAGACAGCGGGGCAAGCTCTGGGATGTGCCCAGGCCCTCGGGGCTGGGACCACACAGTGTTTGTTTAAGGAGACCATTTTGTGCTGTGGACTCGTGCTGGGTTTGTCTCCGGCTCGCTTTCCTGGTTGTGCAGGTGGGTGTGCAGCCCTGCACTGCTGGTCTCCATCCCAGTGATGTGCCTGGGGTTCTATGCCCATGGGTCAGCCAAGGGACTGCTGCTCCTGCGGGGTGGCAGTGGCGTTGCTGCATGCATTCAGCTCCATGAGGGATGCTGAGTTTCACGCTGTTACAACAACTTCTCTTGCAGGGCTTCTGAGCAGCGAGAAGACAAAATGTTTGGGGGAAAAATGAGCAGCCTTGGGAAGAAGCTGATCCGCCGGCGCGTGGTGGACCTGAGCTCCGAGGAGACGTGCTTTGCTCGCTGCCTCTCCACGCTGGATCTCATCGCCCTGGGAGTGGGCAGCACGCTGGGTGCTGGTGTGTACGTGCTGACCGGGGAAGTGGCCAAGGATACGGCCGGTCCATCCATCGTCCTTTGCTTCCTGGTGGCCGCGCTGTCATCGATACTGGCCGGGCTCTGCTATGCCGAGTTTGGAGCCCGCGTCCCCAAGACCGGCTCTGCCTACCTCTACAGCTATGTCACGGTTGGTGAGATCTGGGCTTTCACCACCGGCTGGAACCTCATCCTGTCCTACGTGATAGGTACGTGGCTCTGCCGGATGGGGCTGGGAAGTGTGGGGCTGGCATGCGTCCCGGTGAGCAGCACCATAGCGGGGCAAGGGAGCAGGGTGCAGGCTGGGTGCTTTGGGGATCCGCATGGCTGCGTGATGGGGTTGGTGCTGCTCTGCCTTGCGTGCAGGGCTCGGACCGACAAGCAGCTTTGCTGTTGGCCAGGCACAGCCAGCGTGGCCCGAGCCTGGAGCGCGGCGTTCGACAACATCATCGGCAACCAAATCTCCACCTTCTTCATGAACAAGACCACGCTGCACCTGCCGGGGGTGCTGGCCGAGCGCCCGGACTTCTTTGCGCTGATCCTGATCGCGTTGCTCACTGGTGAGTGTCGGAGCGGCTCGGCGGCACCGCGGTGATGCAGTGCAGCCTGTTCACCCCTTGATCCCCAGCACTGCTGACCTTCGGCGTCAGCGAGTCTGCCCTGGTGAACAAAATCTTCACGGCGGTGAACCTGCTGGTGTTGGCCTTCGTTTTCATCGCCGGCTGCATCAAGGGAGACATCAAGAACTGGCAGCTCACGGTGGAGGATTACATCAACCTCACGCACTCGGATGAGCCGGAGGAGGTCAGGTGAGGACAGTGAGCGTGCCACAATGGAGCCTGGCTAGCGCTGCGTGGCACAGGGCTGGTACCGTGTTGTGTTGATGTCCCAGCTGCTGTCCTCCCTTCTTCCAGAATAAAAGCCTTTGGCTCCGGTGGGTTTGTCCCCTTTAAGCTGGAAGGGGTCCTGATGGGTGCTGCCACGTGTTTCTACGCCTTCGTGGGTTTCGACTGCATCGCCACCACAGGTAGGGAATGCCCGGAGCAGGGCAGCTGCTGGAGCTGCTCGGGGAGGAGCGTGGTGCTCCCTGCTGCTGTGGGAACAGCCCGGCCCCAGCTGCACTGCACAAAGCGCCTCGGCTGCCCGTATCAAAGGCTCCCTGTGAGGTGTGGTGAGAACAGAGCTGCAGGGAGCCTTCCAGCTGCAGAGCCCAGTGCTGGGAATTGCTGCTGCTT